TTTTGGGTTTTTTTTTTTTTTTTTTTTTTAGTAGTGGTCCTTTCGAGAGCTTGATGCTGAGCAGCACTTTTTAACAGGCTAATTGAAATCTGCTGGCCCAAATTTTTATTTGTTTTAGATACAATCCTTCGGTTTTTGTTTAAGCTGATGCTCTCCAGGCTCTCAAGTGCAGATGGCCGAGGAGCGCGGGGAGAGCGAAACGCTGCCCATAATCCCCACAACATCTCGGAGGGAGCAGCGGCGTAAGCTCATTCCGTAATCCCATTCCTGTAATCACTTCCCTGGCCCCGGTGCCGGCCGCAGGCAAGGCCGAGCGGCCGCAGGCCCGCGCTCGGTGACCTCCTGTGCCCAGCTCATCTCCTTCCTGCATCCCCCTGTCCCGCAGGGCGTAGAGGGCAGAGAGGAGCCACAGCAGCCAGGGAGCGCGGCCGGGACCCCGCGTTGACACCGGGGCTCCCGGCGCCCCGCGCTGCAGCCGGGGCTCGGCGTTGCTAGGACCCCACCGCTGTAGGCCAGGAACCTTCGCCAAACATTCCCGCCTCCCCCCCCGCCCTCTGAAGTTCGGTGCGGCTCAGGTGTGCGGTGCTCGGGTGTGTGGTGTTCTTGTGCGGTGGTACATTACGTCGGTACGAAAACTCCTTAAACCCGGCGTGGTACCTGTGGGTGTGGGGGTGGTACGCAGCAGGCCCCGTCCAGGATTATGAATCTACAGCCGTCAGCTCAACACTGCAGGGAAAAGATGGATTGTTCTCCAAAGAGCTTTAGGAAGAAAGATCTTTAAGCAATATTTAGGTTTGTTGACAATGTTAGAAGTATTTGGCTGTGGGAAAGCTGTTGGTGTACGTTCAGCAAATAAAATACTGCAAACTGTTCATGGATCTGGCAGAGTCTTACCAGATTTGCGTGTGTGCAGTAGAATATGCCTAGTCTTTAAATTTCCTCATAGACTATGAGCTGGTATTTTTTCACAAGATCGGGTGATCTCAACTGCAGCTCCTGGTGTTATTTACAACGTGATGATTACACAAACACACACTTCAAAATACTGTTTTGGCTACGTTTGCTTTCCCTAAGTACCTAGCTGAGCATCAGTAGAGATGGGTGCAGGCACCACAGATCTTTAGAGGTTACTTCTGCCTGGCTTCAAGTTCAAATACTACTTGCTAGAACAACTTCACCTTTTAAGAAACAGGATGTCAGTTCAGGGCTATGTCAGATTTAGGTCCTTCTTGCCTTTTTCATTAATTCTGAAAAAGAGCTTGATTTGTTTCTTCTTTTTCTCTTTGAAGGTAGATGGAAGGTAAACTCCTCTAAACTCTTTTGCCTGGCTTCAAGTTCAAATACTGTTTGCTAGAACAACTTCACCTTTTTAAGAAACAGGATGTCAGTTCAGGGAGAAGTCTTGTAGAAACTGAAAGAAACGTTAGCAAAGCCACAGAGCACAGCTTTCACTTCACAAACACATGTTGGTGTTACGCACTGGTAGAAAGACGCTTAAAACACACTGGAGGGCATGTCGGACAGCACCGGTTGTGATCACTGCAATCCAGCTCTCCGTGCTGCTGAACTGGCACAGTTCTGGCCTCGGCATATTTCAGGATTAGCACGTGCCAGGGAGCTGTGCGTCCCCTGGCAGCTCAGACACAGCCAGCCTTTTGGGATGACAGGAGAATTTAACCCCACGGGGCAGCGAGGCTGCCAGCTGGCCTGGGGAAAGGGCCGGGACCCTTTGGAGTCCAAAGCAACTCTCGTCCTTTTGAAAGAAGGTGTACGCATTGATTTTAATCTGATTGCGTTTAACCAAGCATTTCCATTGAACTTGTATTTATTATCTTTTATTTATTATGTACAGACTTGGAGGTTAGAAGGCAGATTAGAAGAAAGGGTATGTTTTGTGGTTGCAGACGCATCTGAGGTTCCGCCTTCGCAGCAGCCAGACGTCTCCATTACCCGCCTGACAGTCCTGCATCCGGTTTCGTTGCCTTCTACTCGGCGCTCCTGCCCGGAGGGCACTTTTCTCCAAACGATGTCTGAGGCAGCAAAAAAGCACCTGGTTGCCCCACGCACGGCGAGGGAGCCTGTGCGTTTGGTAGAAGGGCGGAATGACTCGATTTGGCTCAGAGCTGAGAGGAGACATTTCCCTCAAAGCAATCGGGGTTCCTTAGAGATCAGTAGGGAAAAAGAGCCCGAGCCGGACAGTGGAAGGGGTTCCTGGATAGAAGTTACCTGTCTTCACCATAAGGAAAGGAGACATTTTCCAGAAAGAAGTAAGTTTATTCACGACAGGTCAACACGAGGTCAAATTCTGCTCTGCCAACTTCCATACCGAGATCAGTAAAGTGAAGTGAAGGCAGGTTGAGCTTGATTACATAAGGGCAGTATGATTTCATATTCAGAGATATTTATTTCCATAAGTAACTTCCTAAACAAGAAAGGAAAGGGCCAACAAATTGACAGCATCAAGACAAAGTCCTGATAGTTGTCCTCTGACTTTTCACACAGCTGTATTTCACAGACATTATTTTTGAGCTATGTCCATTTGTATGAGAAGCAGGGCCAAGCACATTGTTGCACAGCAAGAGAAAGTTGTCCTGTGAGAAACCTCCAATGCAGGAGTTCACTAAAAGTGCACATCATGATTTCTACATTTCACAGGCAATTTATTAACCTAAAAATAACCCCACTGATGTCAAGGCTTACGGCACAGACTTAACTTAAAGCTGCTGCTATCCTTTTATTATCTACCCTTTAAGCCTGAATTTAGGCTCGCCCCGAAGACTCACGTTAGAGACAGAGAAAGAAATTGCTTCCGTAGATGCAACCATTAACAAAAATTCTATTTTCCCGAAAGCAGTGAAAAGGGTAGGATATATCTCATTTATCAGGCAGTCACCTGAAAACAACTGTTATTAATTGACTCCCCAGTAATTATTTTCTTGTGCCCAAAACTTTACATACCAGGCAGAAATATACCTTGAAATTTTCAGGCTGTGGAAAATTATAAAGCAATTAGAAACACAGTATCCTTTTTTTCAAGTGGTATTATTGTTCCTGCAGTAGCATATATTCTATTGAAAGAACAACTCATTTCCGTAACTATTTTTAAATTTTATCTTGCAGACAATGCCATCTTTGGATGAAGCTTCACTCCAAAGCTGCCTTTGTGTTTGAGACCCAGTTACTTCACAAAATAAAGAGAACCCGTCCATTAGAGGTGTGTTTTGCTATCTAACACTCCTAGTTGGATTGCTTCAGTGATCTCAGTTCTTAGTTACATCTTTCTTCCAACCCTTAAAATTCTATCTAAGCTATAACCCGCAGAAAAAGAAACAGAGGTCAATCTATCTTTGTAAAATTTGAGCCCAAGTATAGGAATCTAAAGTGAGCAAAGGAGCTTATTCATAGGGATTGTGGTTATAGAAGGTTGCTAAAATACCCCGCTTCCTCCAAAATAAAATCAGAATTTTTGTATTGGAATCATCAGGCACACAGTTGTTATTTCCTTTCTTGTGCGAGTTTCAGATCATCTTCAGATCAGTCTTTACAGCCAAAAATTTAAATCTTATAATGCATTAACTCTCTGTTCTGCTATGTTTTAAAATGCAAAAGTATCTCATAGAGCACAGGAAAACCTAAATGGCAGGAACGCCGTGGGTGCTTGTCTTGTTACAAGGGAAGTGACTTCTGAATGAGAACTCTGAAAGCAAAACAGAAGTTCCCACTGAGCTAGAAAATAATGATTTTAGCAGTGTATTAAATCTCAACAAACTGGGCTTGAAAGATAGTATGCAGGAGTCAGATGTTTACATTTCTTGATTGAAAAGCTTTTGGAAAATACAAGGAAAATGTAAACATCCTCTTCCTCCAATGGAGTCCTCATCGTAGCAAGAGTTGCCCACTCTCACCTCAAGGCAAGGCCGTAATTCCCCTCAGAATCAACATTTGCAATATGAGGCACTCGCTGAAGTTTGCTCGTGGCTCCAGGTATTTGCCTGGTCATCTCAATTTGGGAACTTAACTGCTGCCAGTAAAGCAGTTTTTAATGACCTGCCTTCAATTTATTGACAGGAATATATAAGAATACTCTTAACTCTAGTAGCCACAGTTCGGAATTTTAAAATATGGCTGAAATATGTGTGCTAAGTTAGCAGACTGCTGTCTTGCACATAAATTAGCATTTTTAGATAACTTGATGCATCTAAAAGATGGAGAAGTATACATCTGGTTCCTCTGTTTTGCTGCCATCTGGTTTTCATTTTACAGTCGGCTGTCAATTTGATATTCCTAATGGAATTCTACCCTCGACTTTCTTACCAAAGCTAAGGGGAAGGAAATTATGTACACAAAATAATTTAGTTGTACAAAAAGATAAACACATGTATGAATACAGCAAGTAAAATTTATTGGGTTCTTATTTACTGGGATGAACAGGTCATTTATATATTAGAAAAACTGTAATATCCATCTGAATCTTTTATATACAGTAAAAAACTGCATATGCCTGAAAAAAAAAACAGGCCAAACTGTTATCTTTGAGGAACATTCTCTCTCTCTTTTTTTTTTTTTTTTTAACAAGTATTCATTCTTTCAAATGCTGTTTAATTTTGGGGAAAAGCTTCAAGGCATTTTTGGTTGTTGCTTCACGAACTCTTTCCACTGGTACTCCTTTCACGTCTGCAATGTACCGGCACACAATCCCGATGTTCTCGGGTTCATTTCTTTCCTAAAAGAAAACCAACAACGGTGTTTTGGGAGAGATACCAAATGTGATTGAGCAGACTTATCAAAAAGCTATGGAACAGAAGTGATTTAAAAAGTCACACTACGTTTGTTAAGGAAAAAAAAAAAAAAAGCCAAATTGCAGTAGATATTATGGTGTCAGGTTTCTTGGTAAGATCCACTGTACCAAATGCAGGCGGCTGCATCTGAGCTGTGTGTCTAGATTGTTTCCACTGCCAAGGGAAAGACACGGGAGCTGTTAGGATGCCCATTTGTCTCTTCCTCCATAGCACAACAGGGAGATAACTGCAGTCCTTTCACTAATATGAGCCATTTACCATCTCACTGTAAGAATTCAATAAGGGGAAATGCTCCCTTAAAGTCATCTCTATGAGAGATCCTAATGCAAATGTAGACTTTGGTAGGTGATGGGCATCTGCCAACAACTCCCACTCTCTGCTGCCTCTACAGAGAAACCTAAGCAATGCTACAGGGGAAAACAGTGAGACCCCCATTCAAAGGAACAAAGATAACATTTCTTCTTCACTTTTAGGAGGTCTTGGGTGACTTAAGAGTTACAACAATGTAAGGCTGTATACTCGAGAAAAACACTATAGCATGGCTTAACTTTTCCAACTCTCTTTGACCAGTTAACACATTGTGACCAACATGCCCATTCCATGCACACGCATCCTTTGAGAATTAGATGGAAGGGACATGATTTTGGATCCATCAAGAGCTTAGTACGGAAATGTGCTTCTATTTTTAAGGACAGATTGCCGACCCAAGCTTGAGAAATGCTGCTGCTCTTGCTATTGAGGAAAAAACAAATATTTAGTAACAGCTGGAAGTTCCCAGTTTCTCTCTGGAGAGGGGTTATCAGCAGGAAGAGAGCCATGTTCTTTAAAGCTCTAGCTCTACTTGATAGGGAAAATGCTGGCTGACCTTGACCTAACTAAAAATCAGCAAGAATTTTTTGTTTAGAGTTACTAACAATAAAAGATGCCTGCCCAAGACCCTGGCTGTGTTAAGGCATTATGGATAATGCATTAACATTCCAGCAGCATTAATCATTTTAACAGTACCTCAGCCAGCCAGACACCAAGAGGGACTCCCTTCTGCTCCTTGGCTGGGAAAGCACTCCAAGCCTTCTCCCAAGACCCTTTCAAGCAGTTGTCTTTTGCAGCACGGGATTTAAATCCTGGCAGGATTTAAATTGTTTGAGATTAGCTGGAAGCCAAAGAATTCTCAGTGAAAATTCCCTCTCTTTTATTGTCAGAAGAAGGTAAATCTAGTTAACTGCCCATGCCATTAACTGCCCTAGCCATCAACCAACAGGCAAGTCCTTAGGTGGGAAAATCCTAGAGCATCGAGGCCTCTGCGCGTTGAGAATTAAAACATCCAGGTCATCCAGATGTTTAGTGAGCCATAGGAAAGCCTAGCTTCCTGCTTTGGTATCCTGCCTGCCCAGAAACCTGCTCAGTAACAGCCAGGCCCCAGCTCCTCAAGGTCCCACGGAGAAGAGAGGCCACACAACAACACCCGCAGCGGCTCAGCACGTGGCACCGTTCCTCGAGGTGTCGGCAAAAATTTTATCCGTGTTTATGACCAGAGCAGCTCAAAAGCTGAGTGTTGACTTGCAGATTGCTTCTCTATCTTGTGAGCTACTTGAGGCTCTTTTTTTTTTGTTGTTGTTGTTGTTGTAATGAGAACAGGCCAGTTAGTTAAAAAAGAACGCATATATGTGAATGTTACACGGTGCTAAGGCTCCTAAGAGCACATGAACTTTAGAGAGGATACTGTAGAGAGACTGTACCTCTTTCTTTGGACCAAGAGAAGGGGAATCGGTCTCCAAGCAAATGTTCTCCAGTGGAATCTGCTTAATTAACTTCGCTCGCTTGTGTGGGAAATAAAACAAGAGAGAATAGCACATGAGGAGCTCAGTCTCAGTGCAGCAATTGATACAGCAACCTGCACTGTATTAAACTTGCATGTAGAATAAGTAACGGATCAGCCAGTGTGGCATTCAGACAGTTTAAGCCTTTGGAGATAATCCTAGGTTTCCAATGAACTGCAAGCGCAGGCTGAACAGAGCATTTATATACATTAAGACCTCAGGCACCAGAAATGGTTTATACTTTCTATAAACCCAAGGAGGGGAATGGAGAGGAAATAACAGGTCCTGAGAATAACTCTGCTTTGGGAGCTTCTGTCCATAGACTATACAACAAACTTTGGGTCCTTGGAGGAGCACAGGACAAAAGCTATGTAGGAACTCCAAAAATGGACTCAAAAAGCCAGTGAAAACACACTGGTTATTTTAACATTCTGGTGAAAGTGCTGCAGAGAGGCACCACGGGACGGTAGCTCAGGCACACACAAATGGATTCAAGTTGCTGTGTAAGGTCTCATGCTCTTTCCCAGATTCCCCATATCTCATTTTCTTTCCAACAGGGAAAAGGGAAAGCCAGTGTAGGGGGGCGCTGGCATGTTTCATTTTCCTCCTGATGTGGTTCAGATACTGGAGAACGATAGCTGGGAAGGGAGGAGAAGGCAAAAGACGAGGGCTGGTGCAACTAGTCCTAACCCAGGGAAGGTGAAAGGGCTCCCAGGAACTCTGCAAGGACTAACCTGGTCGTGCCCTGTGACAGCCGGAGGAAAGGAAAAGTAATAGCCAACTCGTACCCCTTCCAGGGCAACAGACGGTCTTCCAGCAAAATTATGAAGCAGGGCGTCTTGAACACCTACAACACACGAGTGAAACCGAGGGAGGGAGCTCCTGACGCTGGGGCTGGGCTGCACAGCTGGGCACCACAGAAGTTGTGTATCTCGTTTTCCTGCCACAGGACACTCCAAGGTTACAGGTCAGGAGCACCCGCACTAAAAACACAAATCTTGGGCTTGTTCACCCTGCCCGCCCTACAGGGACATGGCTGCTGAGTCTGCCCAAAGCGCCCCCAGCCCTCGGGCAGATACCCCGCAGACCACGGACAGGCTTCTCACCCCGCAGCAGCAGGTAACCAACACGTTCTCCAATTGCCTGGCCCTTGCTGAGGCTTGTAATTACGGGGAAAATCTTTGCTGTGACAGCCCAATTTCCTGCTTTCCAGAGCTAAAACCCCCTTATTTCTGTTGTGCTGCCTCCTGCTGTGCTTGTACTATAGGCATAGATCTGGTTGCTTACTCTAGATTAGTGATATGGGTATCCTTCTTTCTTTCCCATAAGGTAAGTCACATTTGTAATATACAGATCTGCTTAAAATAGACAACAGGGTGTAAAAAAAAAAAAAAGCCTCCTGAAATCATAGTCAGACTCAAAAGTAGGTAATGTAGGCACAGCAGCCGTTTTGCTCCACTACCTTCTACCACAACCCCCAAAGTCGCTCTGCTCTTCCTGGTCTCTATCATTAAATCTCCTCCTGACATAAACATTCATACTTTGCTTTGTTTGCATTAACAGGTCAGTGCTGAGCAGCTTCCCCATACTTTCCAGCTTGCACCGCAGACTTTGCTGAAACTTGCCGCATGCACTGAAGGCAGAGATGCCTTATCAGCACATCAGGTAAACAGAGCGGGTGGGCGCACGGCTTGTACGTGCATGAAATGATCCCAGAGGCCAGCTACAAAAAGGATGATATATAAACCTACACTCTCCTTTTTAAAAAAATAAAAATGAAACAGAGGAGCAATCCTACCTTCCTCCTTCAGGAAGGCAATGGTTTGCCTGCCGGCTGAGCGAGAGTGCACGTTCCTGCCCAACAGAAATGTGTGTGTTAGAAAGTGGAGTGACACTGAGCCCGCTCCTCGCTTTTGCCTGACACACCAGTGTGTTTCCTTTCAGAAGGTGCTGTGTTTCTTCTAGCACTAGAGAGCCCCACGGGCGCAGGGGAGCAGAGTCACCCTTGGCGCTCGAGCACGGCTAGGGGATAAAAGCACCGGCCCTCGGGCGGACGGCAGGACTCGCGCGTGGGGCAGAGCAAGGTCTTGTGCCCTCTTGTGCAGAGTTACCCAGGTGGTGCCATTTGATCTGCACTCTTTTTTTATTGAAAGCACCATTTTAAAAGCTGAGCTCGCTTTGAAGGGTCACTTGCAGCACTCACCCATAGTTAATGTCACCAGACACTTCCTAAACCAGAGCTTCCTCTCCACAGACCCAGCTGCCCACGTGCTGTGTTTTTGCAGTCAGAAGCCACCCATAAGGGAGTTTCAAGTGTTGCTTTCCCTGCCTTGCTCACGATGCTGTTTGATGCCGGGCTGAGCCGGGGCTGCCCGGGCTGGCCTTGATCAGGACAGCGATCAAAACGCAAGCTGGGATAAGCCTCACTCAGCCACACCTGCATAGCTGTTAGGCCAGGTCCAAAGGGTGGAAGGGTAATAGCTGGCAGCGAATTATCTAAGGATACCCCCGACTGGAACAGCCTTTCCCAATGACACAGGCTGGCACCACGGCCACATTACACAGCACGGAGCAAAGCATCAGTGCTCCAGACCACCTGATCTTTAATTTCCTCCAAACAGTTATTTTTCAGTGAGCACTGCTGGCCATGTGTTATTTCCTTTTTGTTCTCATTTGCACCCATCTGACGTTTAGGCGAATCTTTTGAAAAACTTTGATTTTATTTAACTTGTTTTTATTCTGTTGTTCAGTGCCACAGGCATCTAGATAGATATAGTCCTGAGCCTTCCCCACATGTGCACACTACATCCAGCACACATATAATAATACCGTTTGTGCGTGAAAATATAGAAAATTAGATCCTGCCTCCCTACTACGGAAGCCTTTCCTTGATACCCAGGGCACGAAGTGAAGGCTTGAGAGGAACAACCACACGACTCTGTGCTGCGTGGTGCCATGCAGGGAGCACAGCCCAGCTCTTGTAGAAAGGTGGATGTGGGGACAAAGAGGAAAAGGCGAAGAAGTGAGATACAAGGGCTCCTGTGGGGGAAAGGTGGGAAGTTTCCCGCGGGCTCGGCAGCAGCACAGCTGGAGAGGAAAGTTTCTCCAGCCAGCTTCTGGTGACGATGCCATCCTCCTCAAGGTATTGTTATTTTTTATAACCTCGAGCCACTGAGCTCGTTTGGATAAGCTCAAACTTCAAAACCGCCCCTGGAGCTCTGCAGAGGATGCCTGCAGGGATGCAGGGCAGGAAACAGGTGTCTGGCCGAGTTAAGGCCTGATGCACAAGGGAGACGCTGGTTTAAAGGTTTCTGACTCACACGGGCAAGGCCAGTTGTTTTGCTAGGGCCAGCTGCAGTGCCAGGACTCTCTGCTGCTCCTCGCGCTGCAGCGCTGTGGGTGCGAGCCACGGCGTGAAGTCCAGCCCAACCTGCTCAAAGAACCATTTAAGAGAGCACGAAACGTGACGGACTTCAAACAGGGGCGACCTAACGTTTTCCCTGGTTTAATGTTCTTATGAGAGAGTGGCGGAAGTTCTTGTCAATGAAGCAACAGAGCAGAAGACAGCACCTTTGGAAAGGTGACATACCTGGAAATACCGTAACTTAGGAATAATGAAAAGCCAAGCAAACATGTTGTCACACACAAAAATGCTCCTCCTGATAAAGATCTAGAGCAGCCTCTCTAGCTCCCTTACAATGTTTTCATTGCAGGAATCCAATATCTCAAAGATCTCCAAACAGTGCTCCCGCCTTGAGGGATTTTGCAATTTTCATTTTACTCTTGCAGCATTGTTTTGCCAGGAAAATAAAGTTTTTGTTTTGTTTTTAACTGAACTAATTTCATATCTATTTGTGAGGAGCAATGCAAGCAGCAGCACCCAGAGAGGACACTAAGGACGCAGCGCGTTACACGCACCTTCATGCAATTTGCACACAGGCAAACCTAGCAAGCTCTGCTTGCACTGAAATCAGAGCACATTACCTCTCCGACGGCCACCAGCTTATCTTTGTATTTCTCGAAGAGAGGGAGGGCAGATTCCAAGTCCTGTAATAAACCAGCTACAGCTCACATGTTTTGTAAAAACAGCTGGGGGGTAAGCTGAGTCAAGGCAAACAAACCCACACATATCTGTATTATCATGCACCTTGAAAGGCAAATAAAAAGCAGAAGATCAAACAATCTGTTTTCATGATGAAAACAGCAGAGACAACTAGTCTACTGCCTTACTAACAACTTCTGAATAATCTAATTATTCAGCCGTCTAAGAAGGAGATGAACAGATCTCAGAGAGTGTTAGAGGGGTGCTGGCCCAGGTAACTCTGCTAGTGAGTAGGGCAAGACCCCAATCTTCCTCACGTCTCGCTATCCATCCGGCCTCCAGGGACATAGGAAACCTCTAAGAAGGGAGTGTTGGCAATGTAACATGTCCCTGGGAACCTGATCCTTGGTGGTGCTTGTCCCAGAGTAGTGGTGGCTGTGGGTGCTGGGGAACAGGTCTCCTTGAACCAGCCTAGCAGACCGGTCACTTGCTACCCTTGCAGAGGAGCCATGGAGAGAGCCCTTCCTCAGCCCGGGCTATTAAAGCATGGGGTCATTTGCACCTCTTCAAATAAAAAAGGCATCTTAAGGACTCTCATCTTAAGGACTCTATGAGCGATTTCCGAGTAGCCTTTGAGTCCTGGTGAAGGAACCACCTTCGGGTTGGCTCTGATGATGACAAAGGGTTACATACAGTACATGAAGGTTTTCTTAGAAAAATCCTCTCTTCCTACTCCAAAATCTTGCTCTTGGGAAGGAGAGAAAAAAAGTAGGTTGGTAGTCTTTCTGGGACTTCTTGATACTTAGGAGCCTTTTGGGATAAATGTTCCCCCCTGCACAGGGAGATGTGGTATGAATGCGCTGCACAGAGGGGATGATTTCAGAGCAAGATGACATCTGCACATGTGTGCTAGCCCATGTTAGTGCACGGCACATGCACTTGTCATGGCTTGAGTCAGTCCAGAGGTTCTGTGTGGCACAGAGCTGAGTTTCCACCCAGAATTCCCCAGGCAGGAATATAGATCCCTAAGTAGACGGCAAATTACCCACTGCTGCTTTGACTGGAGGTCCCCCCACGGCGAGTGCTCCACTTGTTCGCTTCCTCCCGCTTTGTTGTGTGTCCAGAGACGCTCCCAGCACAAAGCCGCGCTCTGTCTTTATTAATAGCACCAGGTCAGCGCTCATCGGGACTTCAAAGCCGCTGTGCCCCAGGCACTTCACAAGGACCGGCCTTGCTGCGAGATAACCCCGGCCCTGGCCGCTGCAGGGGGACGCGGCCGGACGGCCACGCACGGATGCAGCACGGAGGACTCCGGATCAGCAGGTCTGAGTCCACCCTGGAGATGGCTGTACCACCCTTGCACACATCCCTTTGGAAAGCAGGTGGTGCGGCCATGCTGTCTGTTAACCCTCATATTGGTGACTATCAAGCAAGTTATCCCTGGGGGAGGGCAACTGGCAACTCCACAGGGAAGGTTTAGACATAGAGCAACCAGGTAACACTGCAGCACGAAGCACAGGTGCTGCGGGCAGGACTTCAGCACTGTGCTGGGAGCATTGAGGATGTAGGAAACTGGGATCACAGCGGTGGAGAGGTCACAAATCCCTGGGAAACAGAGCTTGACTGGTGTGCTGCTCACAAGATAACTTGTCTCCAACTAACAAGGGACACGTGCACTTTATCTGCACAAAGGCTGTGCCCTGACAAAGAGTCAAGTGCCTGTTTCCACTTGTTGGTGACAAAAGATATAGTCCTGAGACAGCAGAAGTGCCAGAGCCAAAGCAGGCACATCCGAGAAGTTAAACACAGGTTCCACATGTGATAACGGAGACACGAGGTTGGCACGGGAAGGAGCTGGGCACCTCACCTGGACCGTGGCGCTGCGCTGCCCCTCCGCACCGCTCTGGATCGGGTGGACCCCAAAGCATGGCATGACAGAGCCGGGGTACCTGCGGGACACAGGAGATGCCAGGGACACGTAAGCAGATGTAGCGGCAATATTACCTCATCCTCACTGCAGGCAAAGCCCGTTGGGTTTGATTTTCACCCTGGCTTTGGTAGGGCATCAGGTCCACCCCCAAGGTTTGTCACAGAAGTAGCTTGCTCTTCACATAACAGCCCCTTGATAGCAGGGCAGATTTCTGTGCTTGTGCCACTCTCCTGCATTTTTTTTTCAACTTTTTCCTAAGTTTTCCCATGCCATCTGCACACTCGTTGCATGACAAGTGCTCCACGCACCAGTGACTCTGTGCAATGAAGCCTCCTGCAGCAGCTAACCCAAATAACAGCACCGTGCATCATGCTATGTCCTGGGGGAGAGAGGAGCTACGTCTCTGATATTCCTCCAGGCTCCTCATTCTCATGCCTCATGCTGCTTTCCATGGAGCGAAGCCCTGAGCATGGCGAGACACGCATTAATTCCTGATCCAGCCATGATTTCGTCAGGACCATGGCCTCCAGCTATATTTGTTAATCATGGCAGTCCCAAAATTGCCAGGTCTGAAGGAATCTCATGCCTGTGTGTCACTAATTCACCTTGATAGAGAAACCAGCCCCAGCACAGGACACGAGTGGATGGATAACCATCTCGGCCAGAGGAAAATGCTGCGACAACTGAGCGCTATAGCAATCTGTATCCTCTCTTTGATCTCAGCTGTATCATTGTGCTACATATAGAAAGCAAAGAGTAGAATAACAAACCTTTCTGCTAAGCCAATAACTTTCTCAAATTCATTTTCCTGCTCTGTAACGGAAACAAAAGCTTGAACCCCAGCCTGCATAAATGAAAAAACAAACAAAAGCAGGAACTCATTAGCGATGAAAGTTGCATTTCCATCTAATTATTTATTTGTTTCTGCTTCTAAAGAGCCTATCTATGCATTGTGTAGGAGTCTGCTGGAAGCACCTTCGGTAAAAGTCTTTGGTCAATTTGTTTAAACTCTTATCACAATAAACAGCAGGATGAAAGACTGTATCACTGACTTGGCCTTCCCACCATCTCTTCAGTTGTTCCCATGTCAAAAATCCTGAAAAAGCATCCTCATGCATGTCCCAGTGCTCAACCCACTCATGCCCTGCTAGTCCGTGAGTGCCTCAGAACAAGCCCCAGACCAAGGGCTCTCAGCGAAGATGCTCCACCTCAGTCCCTCCAAGAGCACCCCAGCAAGCACAGATGGTGCGAAGGACTCTCAGCTGTTGCTCCTGAACTCCGGGGTGTTTTCCAGGACCTAAGTAGTCCAAGCAGCTTATGCTGAACCTTGTAGCAGCTTTTACAACCCACCCCACCCTCGCGAGCCACACGGCCTTCACTCTGCACTGCCTCAGCCTCGCTCCATGAGTCACACAGACAGCCTGGCAGGGGTGGCCAAAGGCCACTGCCACCAGCCAGCCACGCTGGTGCATCTCCCGCGTCCTCCCGGCCCCCGCTGCTGCCTAAGGCGCTTGCTGCGCCAGGAAGATGCAAAGCACCTCAGGGTGACCCCATCACTACACACTGAACCACTGCTCTGTCCCTTCTCGCAGCCAAAGCAGTTTTAGAAGCTTTTTGTGTCTGCAGGCCCTGCACCTCGGTGCCTCAAAAGCACCTTCACATCATTACTGTTCTCCTGCACCCCTGGCTCATGTATGACTCGCCCTGAGCGATGTGTTCCTGCAAGCCCTGGCGCGTGTGGAAATTCCCATGCACTCTGCACATCTGCGAGCTATATTTTAAGCCTGGAAAGAACCAAGCGGTGAGGAGCTTTACTTTTGTTCCCAGCAGGGGAAAGGAAACTGCCTGTCTGCTCCGCCAGCTGGGCTGGCGGCACAGGGACAGGGGGAGTCTCATGCCATAGGGTCAATGCTAGTGCCAGCATGGCAGTATCATTAATAACAAATAATGATGAGTGAGGTGTCTCGAAGGCACCAAGGAATTATGTGAAAGAAATCACAAACCTTTCTGGATTTTTCTATCACCTCATGTAGATCCTGCAAGACAAGAAGACATAAGCTGTCACTCAGAGGACCAGCAGTGCTGCTGCTTGTAGCCTCCAAGGGAAAGATGGTGGCTGAAGATGCCAGCTGAGACCTTGGGACTGCTCATAATGCTACAGACCCCCTGCACCATCAGGCAACTTGTTTAACGCTGTTAGAAGTTCAGCTTCCTGTGGAAAGAAAAAACATTAACTGCCCTGCCTGCTGCAGGCAGCAGCACAGGCAGCAGAGAAACGAAAACACTGGCAGCTGGAGGCAC